TTAAGCCTCAGAGAGAGAAACTACCTCCAAATTTTTAGAGAAGAAAGCTATATCAAAAATTTTAGCGAGGGAAACTCTCACAATTTTTAAGTTTTAAAGAGAGTACTTGAAATTTTTTAGAGAGATAAACTATCTCAATTTTTAGAGAGAGAAACCACATCAAATTTTAAGTTTTGGAGAGAAAAACTACCTCTAAAATTTAAAAAGAGAAATGATATCAAAATTTAGAGAGAGAAACTATCTCAAAATTTTTATTTGCTCTCTCTAAAACGTAAAATTTGAGATAGAGAGGTTGGACGACGGCCTAGCAACCGTGACAAGAGGGTAGAACCCAGGCCCGGCCCTACCTGACTCTTTGTCTTTATGTTTTCCTTTTATCTTTTTGTTTTATTGGACCCCGCCCAGCCTTGATAGGGCTAGGACCAGACTTGGGCCAGCCCTAGGGGGGCTAGGGACATGGTTGGCCCGGCCCGTTTCTTGCCCTAGCATCAATTTGTTATCGATCAATTTGTTTAAACTAACGTTCAAACAATTTGTTATCGATCAATTTGTTTAAACTAACGTTCAAACAATATAGGATCATGTAATGTTGGATTAAGATGCAAAGGGCTCACGACTAATGAGCATAAATTAGCAAACAAATACACTGATTGGTTATAATTGTGTTTTTTATGCTTCTCTTTGGTGGCAATTTTGCGCACATTTTGTAGTTTTTATTTTCGTCAATATGTAATTATAAGTTCAAGTTTTGCCCGATATTATAATTTGGGATTATTATCTTTAAATGGGCTCTATTATGATTTTCTGTCTTGGATCATGGTTCATGGGCTATAGAATTGGTACAAAACGATCTTATCTTATTCGTTTCAAAGTCTTTGGTTTGATGAGCAAAATTAAGCAATTGGTGCTTTGTCCAATTCGAGGGAAGACTTCAGACTTTTTAAAATTTTTAATATAAATAAAATCGATATTTATATGCAAATTATATAAAATTGATGGAATTTTTTTAAAATAATACAATAAAATAAAAATTAAAAATACTTTTATATAGAAATTTTCATTCGGAAGAATTTAAGTGTGGTACCAATAGTCAATAAAATGAGAAATAGTAGACTTAGGTGAGCTGGCCATATGTGGCACTCAAGTACAATACCTATTAAGAGGTGCGAGTTAGTTCAAGTAGAAAGACTTAAAAGAGTAAATGGTATGCTCAAAAAGACATGGTTAGAAGTAACTCGAAATGATAGGGGAACTTATGTCCTCACTAAGGTCATGGTAAAATGGCAAACTAGGATTCGTGTGGAAAAAGGCTCACTGATGGTTGGAAGTATTTATTTTATGACGGAAGCAACTAGAAGCTTTGACTAAAGCATACCCAAAGCAGACCAGCATCTGACCGAAACAGTCCGAAGTGACTCGAATTTAACCGAAGTGTAAGCACCATGCTTCTTTTCGCTTCGGTCTATGCCTAAAAACCAAAGGCTTTGGCCTCTTCGGCCAAAGCGAAGCGAATTTGACAACACTGGTATAAAACTCTCTCATTTACAATTATATTTATTCATTCACCTCTCTATGCCCGTGAAACAATTTATTTTTCCACGTTCTCTGTTTATCAAACCCATGAAAAATGACAAAGTCAATGTCAAGGTTGGTTAGACTTGATGTAACAAGAAAAATCAAGGAAAAAAAAATTGAAGCTATAATATATTGCAGAGCATCCAAGTAGATATATCTAGCAAATAAATCTACTTCTAGTATTTGAACCAAGGTTTAAAAAACAAAGAAGTGATTTGGATCGGCTACCCCAAAAATCGTGTCAAATCAGTGGATTGGTGATTTGGATCAAAGAATTGGCAGGTTTCAGCTTCAAAAGTTTTTCAAAAAATCACTATAATTTCTCTAAAATCTAGTTTTTTAGGTTTCTAAAAAATAGTGGCAGTTGCATTATAATTTTTCATTATTGTGTAAAAAATATATAAATTCTGAAAACATGTCTTATGTTGAGTATTTGTTATCTATTAAATTCATTTTATAGCCAAAATGAAGTTGAAAATGTACCTCATGACAATAAAATGAATTTCTCTAACTTACGTTTCTTTTTATATATATATATATATATATATTAATTTAGGAGTTTCATTTTTTAGCTATATGGAATTTTTTGAATTAAGCTTCCATTTAGTGGAATCTAAATTCTCTAATTTTTTCTCTCTACGAATAACAATCGGGGGAGAGAGAGAAAAAAGGGTCATGAGCGCTTGTGATTAGCGTCACAAGTGACGCACAAGTTTGGGGAAGTGGCTTGCAATAATGAACCCACAAGTTTTAATTTAAAAATTCTTTGAATGCAAAGTACAAAGTTGCGGGACCAATGATAGAGTCTTTTTTAATTTTAAAAAGTTGCAACTCTAAATAAAAAATCGTAAACTTATATTGGAAATAGTGACGTATGTGGTTTTTTTTATGACAAAACCGGTCTTACCCGATTGTAAGGGGAGTTGTCTGGATCCCAGTACATGGAGGGATCTGGATTGTCATCAATGATTTTCGATCTGAATCGAGTGATTCCGATCCGGATCATAGAATTTTCAAACCTTGATTTGAATAGACATCCAAGCTACCCACATAATAAAATAAGATGCCAATATTTCTTCAATTGTAGATGAAAAAGTATGCAACTTTCTTTAATGCGAAGGTTGTCTTATATGACATCGAGGGTGGCCCTTGGACTTCGTGAGTGGAGGTGACTTTCCATACTCTTTAAGAGCTAATGTAGCTCATTTCTCTTGATCTATCTATGACAAAAAGATTTTAGGTTGATTCATAAACATCTGCAATCTCCTAGATCAATTCATCCTTGTTATCTGGGTGGTAGTATATGTGATTTAATCTCTCTATTAGAACAGTAAATTATGAGATAAATCGACCATACATCATTTGGTATTAACATATGATTGACCAAGTAAATTAATTTCTATTTGGTATTAACAACCTTTGCTACTATGACATCCTTATCAGAAAGCCTTATTATATATTATATAACTTGGGTATCTCTAAGCCACTTTTGATGTCAAAACGAAAGTTAATCTCCATTGCTCAATAGAATGCTATAATATGTTGTAGCCTTATGATAATCAAGACACTTCCAAATAGCGAAAGTGATTACAATTTCTTTGAAGCCTACCACCAATCAGTTGCTTGCTAGGGGTGAGAATTGACCCGATTCGGATCCTAAACCCCCGGATTTGCTCAAAATTGGGATCCATATCCAAATCCGAATTTTATGTATACTATACAGATCCGGGCTCGATCCGACCCGTTGTCACCCCTATTGCTTGCCATACTTCACTTTTATTACCTATCTCAACATGTGAGTATCTCCATCACCATTTTTTAATAAGGTTTCATTCATAATCTTAAGATGTCCACTATCCTCTTTGGCTAAATAGACTTTCTCCCATTCCATAAGGGGAAACTTCTTCTCTTTAGTGGATTCCCACAAGAACCTCTTCAATAGACCTTCAAGTCTCCTTCTAACTTGGGTTGACATTCTCATTTAAGAGATATAATATATTGGCAAATTTGTTAGTATTCAGTTTAAAAGTGCAATTGAACCTATGTTGAGTGTTGGAATCTCATAACCAACAATGGATGAAAATCAATTTCCAAGTTTGATGCTCTCTTTGTTGGCCCATTTCCACTAAAGTGAGCCAACAAGGTGTAAATACTTGAATTTATTAATTTACCTCTAGGCTCAAGCTATTCTATTTATTTCTTGATATGGCTTCATTAGAATTTGTAGACAAGGTTTAGGGTGCAACTAGCATGAGACCTAGGCTTGATTGTTAAACTACATAGATGTTCTTCAAAACTATGCAGTTCCCTCACTATAAATTCTTATAATGACCTAGAAATCTATTCCGCTCTTAGTATGGAATTTGAAGCCCTAGAACAGTATATATCTAGTAGGTCTGTAAATACTAAAAAATAGACGGTCTAGATAATGTATTGCAATACCTCTTTTAAAGTCATTTTTCTTAAATCCATAATTGTCGAAATCTAGATGGTCTTCAGAAAGATTTTTCGACACCGAAGTTACATTTTGCACCTTTATTGTATCGGCTACACTTGCACAATCTCAAGCCAAATATGGTTTGAGGCTACCATAACCTTGTTTTATGGAGAGATAAAATACTTTTTTTAAAAAAAAATAAATTATTATTTTATTTATATTATTGTTTACCAAAAATGGAATATATTTTAGACGCATCATCTTTTGTCCCTAAGGTGTGAATAGAAGAAGTAGGAGAAAGTCGAATCTTTTTTCTTTTGCTAATCCAGTAAAAAGTCAAATCATTTTATTATCTAGAAAAAGTACGCAATAAGATTATTTACCTAGGATATAAGTCGATCATAATTAATCTTAACCATTGAATGTGAAATTGGATGGATACGTTTATTTCATTGCTCAAGCTCACAATTTAAAAGATGTAAAATTGGGTGGTCGCATTTATTTCATTGACCGAGCTCAAAGTTTAAAAGATGTGAAATTGAGCGGATGCGTATATTTCATTGATGAAATTCAAAGTTTTTAAATTTTTTTTTGAACTTTACGACCTGTTTAACCTATCAAATTTCGTATAAGATACTTATCAATTGTGACCTTTTTGTATCCAAAGTTAAAAACATCTTTGTATACAGTTTTTATCTATATTTAGCGACTTTTGTATATTATTATATTAACGGTCCTGATCTTGCCACGAGAGTGCAAAGCTCCATCCAGCGGCCAACATTCACCTACCCGAGACCAGTAAGCGGGCAGCTCTGACTCTCAATCGAACGGTGAACATAAACCCAATCACCGATCCAACGGTGCAGAACCCTAGATTTCGTCACGCTCGCTTACACGAGTGAACACATTCAGCCTCTGTGCGGCTCGTGCGAAGATGGTCACATATACCGAACCCCTGTGACTCTCATCTCTGCAACTCTGCCAAAAATGGAAGCTTTTTGCGGTCGCCACTGAAAAATCCCTGCCCTAAATTTTTCTAGGCTTTTTTTCCTGGATTTTCTATATTTAAAAACTCTGGGTTTTCACCACAATGCATGATGCTTAGGCATTGCATTCTGGTTTAGGGCCTGGGGAACCTCAGTACCCTTTTCTAGTTTTTTTTCATCTATGGGTTGATGGTCGAAGGACTTTCTTGGTCTTTCTAGTCCTTAAAGGACTGGTTCGTTTGGTGTTTCTAGTAACTGGCATTGCATTGTAGTAACGGTTTGGAAGAGTTGCAGAGCCTTTTCATGGGTTATTGCATGATGACACTTGTTCTTTAGGGCTTTTAGGGCGCTTTTGGCTATGGATAACTCTTGGCCAGGTAAAGTTGGTCCCTCTTGGCCAGGGCCACCTTCTTCAGTGCCTCGAAACCAGGTAATGTTCTATTGATGAATCTCAAATGTTATTTTCTTACTCTTTCTCTTGTTAGGTGGCCTTTCTCTCTATCCTATCTCACTTCTCTTTTTTTATTATCCCGGGTAAGATTTTGCTCTCTCTCACTCAAATGGAAGACAAGCGTATTCATATGTACGTTTAGTTTTATTTTTATTTTTTGTTTTTGCATCTTCTGGTTCTTCATGTATTGGACTGATATAGGAATACAGCAATGGTTCCCTTGATTGAATTTTGATTGATTGAATATGCTTTGTGGCTACGGGTTGGATTCATCTCGCCATGTTTTTCTTTACATTTTTCTCTTAGATTGTAGAAACTTCACCAATCACTACTTTTTGGTTCATCTTTCTGCAAAATCCATCGCATTTATAAATGAACATATATCCTTTGTGCTAGTTAGGCATAACCTATGTATCATGGAATAGACTTTGCCAGTCAGAAAGAAAAGCGGACATGCATCATGAAATAGTCTTGGTATATTTGCCCGAAAGGACCAACCAAAATTGCATGTGATTGGGATATGATCATCAGTGTCACTTCTTGCTCTGTATAGGATACATTGACCAAATAAAACTGTTTTTCTGTAGATTATCATAAGTAAGAGTTCCATGTTCTTGTACTCTGTGCAAAAACAGCGAGCTGAAATGAGCTTCCATATGCCAGACCCAATTGCAGGATAAACTCCTTGTCACACAAAGACTACAATGTTAGCTTTACTGAAAGACTACAATGTTAGCTTTACTGAACAGAAATTGGGGGACTTCCTGCCCCATGATACTTTTTTCTCCATTATACCTGCAATGGCCCGTTAATGTAAATATATTGAAATGTGGGATTTGTACCCTTTGATGTAGTTATACCATTGAATGCGTTTAGGTTGGAGAAAGAAAATTTTGAATGGCTCCCAGCATTGTTTGAATCATTGTTTGTTTGAGCTCAAAATATTATTATGCTGGCCTCCTTGTTTGCATCAGGAATTCCAGCTATTTTGACATTGATACAGTGTGCAAAAACTTGGCTTGCGCTGGGGACTCGTCCTCTACCCAAGCCGAGTAACTTGGACGAGTCAAGCAGACTCACTCTAGTCATGCAAAAGCCCAAAAAGGCTCAAAACTTGGAGAAAGAAATTTGTCAAAAATGAACATAATTAAAAGTCTAAAAAGGATGGAAAGGTGGTGGGGGTTACAAATAAGGGGGAGTGGAGGGAAAGGGTGGAGCGGGAAGTGGTTATGGTGTGCAACAATGAATGACGAGTGGAAAAGGAGGGCGGAAGAGAGGTTGAGGAGGAGCGAAGCATATGCATTCATATTTATACATCTATTTGATTAAAACATATGAATTTTATGATTCTTATATTTTTTTTAGTTGTTAGAGTTTGTACCCTGGACTTGGGTCGACAAGTTGCTGAATCCGAGTAACTTGGCCGAGTCGGAATCAGTTTGGTCGAGTTTTAAAACCTGGCATTGATATGAAAATTGTTGTTGCTTCCAAGTTTATGAATTTTGCGCTTTAAACTTGTTTGAGGTTTACCTTACTTTTTAATTCTTTTTCTTTTCAATCAGCATCATCATTTGAGCCTTATCCCAACTATTTGGGGTTGGCTGCATGAATCGTGTTCCACCATTCCGCTCCATCAAGGGCCATACCCTCAGTCGGACTATAAGTTGCCATATTTTTTCTCACTACTTCGATCCATGTCTTTGGGGCCTTCCTCTTGTCCTTTTTGAGCCTTAACTTGAACCAAATCACTCCTTCTAGCAGGTGCTATTCTAAGTTGATGCTGCACATAATTTTTTTTATTTTCAATATTTTTGACAAATTGTTGACCATAACTTCAGATATTAAAACGTCTCACATACAGATGATTATTGGACTTTCAAGACTCTTTTGCATGGGAATCTTGGTAGAGGTTTTAATTGGTTCCTTTTTAGATCTTTTGTGAGTATCTAAACAATATGTTAGATTTTAAGGATATCTATCTGAATGTTTTTCTTTTTCCCTCTCAAATCATCTCCCTAATTCAAGTCATATCTGTTGTTTTGTGCTTGATGCTTTGGGCTTAGATTGCAAGATAGATTGATTACCTTTTTCTATGTTGTGTCCCTTGTGTGGCTGTACGTTGTTCTGATCCACTTGGCATTCCTTTTTTTTTGTGTCCAGTTTGAAATGAATGCTGATCAGTATTTTTTGCATACCTATGCACAAGAAGCCAATGTATCTAATACAATGAACTTTGGTTCTACCCCATACAACTGCAAAATGGCGAATCCTGAGTTTGCAAACTCCTTTATTTCTCTCTTAGCGGGGGGGCCTTCTCAGCAGATTTGTGGTGAATTTCAACAACTAACTAGTTCCAGATCGGGCATGGCTACCACCAGTCCTCCTATCAATGAAAACATTGTTAATGGACCTGAGCTCTATCAGGTTATTGGATCTAGAAATCCATTGGCTTTCAATAGTGGAAGAGGCCTTGTTTTCAATGATGGTAATCTTCAACCCAAAAGTTCACATCTTCATGGGTCCAATGCTGCCAAGCAGGTTTTTTCTGATCACACTCCTCGTGACAATGAGATAGTATCGCAGCGATCACCTATTCAATGGCTCATTGGTACCACAAATACGAAACAACAAAATAATGCACATATTTCAAGCTATACACGATTTAAATTACCATCAGATTCAAAATGTGATGTGATTGATCAGGCATCTTCCATTGTGAAAGGGCTTACACGTGCCTATTGCCTTGGTAAAAGTGAGTACTTTTGTCTTGATTGCTGTTTTTATAATGTTTTAAAAGAATAGTTCTTATTTTGTGGATGATTTTGTGGGAAATGCCGTTTTTATATTGGGGAGTCAGTAATGTTTCATGAAATGTCGTTCTTCTGATTATGATTGTATGAGGTACTCTCTGCTCACCATCTATTAATCTGTGACAGGTGGGGATCTTCTTCTTATTGAAGGGGGACATCTTGGAATTGTCTGCTCATGTCATGGTTTGCATATGTCTGTGGCAAAGTTTTGCGAGGTAGAAACTTTGTCAAATGCTAAGTTGAATTAGTGTTGAAATTTAGCGATAAAAAGTTAGTATTGTAAGTTCTAGTGGAGCTTTTGGATCAAGAATTAGAGCGACTAAAGATTGTTGATGCTCAACTTATTCTTCCTGCAGCATTCAGGAAGCAGTGTCATCAATCCTGGGGAAGCTGTTCGCACTGGAAGTGGCGAGACTGTTGCTCAGTGGCGCAGAGAGAATTACATAAAATTAGGGGTATGATGTCCTTTTGATTTTCATGGTTCATTGATTTAGACAGAAGGCTATGGATGGAAACATTAATAAAAAAAGGGGTGTGCTTGTTGTGCTTATTAGTCTTGTATCCTTTTGGTTGCATATTATGCACCGATCTTTTATTGTACACTCAAGTATTATGCTTGATGTTTCCCTTATTCATCATATCATTCCCAGGATTGAATAAGTTTTGACTTGTTGCTTGCCCTATGGTTTGATAGCTTATTGGTGCCATTTAATTATTTCTTCATCCTTCTAACAGCCATCTACTTGGTTGTTCTGGCACATAATTTGTTGTATCCAGCAGACACCTATATTTCAGATGTTATTCATTCTTTTGTGTATGTTATTGGATCGTGAGTGAATGTTTCTATGGATCATAATGTGTTTTGGACTTAAATGCATTTAATGAGCTTGGTATCATTTGAAGTCTTATTTGAATTTTTCTATATGATGAATGTGAAGAATGTTACTCACCTTTTGTGGGGATTGTGGAAAGAATGTACGTGGCTTTGGTGTCTGAACTTATTATTCTTCCCCTTAATGATTGTATGTAAAATAATATGCCGGCTGTCCAAACTTGTTAATCATCACCTGTTTTGATACTTGTGTTTTATGCCTTGTGTCTAAACTTGTTATGCAAACGCCTTTGCGAATCTTGGTGGGCTTTTATGAAATGGCAAAATTCTCTCTCTTTTTTGGACGACTTAATGGCAATCTTAATAGAATGTTAAGTGTACTTTTCTATTCTATTGTGATGTCAAACTTTCTGGGTAGACAGCAGGACATCCCTGATTTGCTGGAGAATGTTAACATTGCCATATATCACTTTCATTCTTGAGTGATGTTATACTGCTAAAGAAACATAAACTCAATAGTCACTAGGCAAATTTAGAAAAAATGATAGAACCTAAATGGCAGATTCGACTAGAAACTGTGATTAGAGTGATGTAAATAGCTTTTCTGATATCTTTGTGTAGTGATGATATCTGCTGCATCGGCCAGTTGACTTGAGATCCAGATTTGGTATGTCTTGATAAGGAAATTGTCTTCTTTAAAATGAAAAAGAAATCATACAGTAGTAAAAGTAACAAAATAAAATAAATCAAGATCCTAATATGCAGTATTAGGTTCCCCTTGCTGCTCACTGGAAAATAGGATCAAAGGTTGTTGATACCAAACATAAGTTTCAGTTTCTAGCGGTTGTGAAACCCTAGGGAATTCTCAGGCACGCCAAGTCTTGGGGAGCCTCAGTGAGTCTATGGTGAGATTATTTGGTAGATAAGTAGTGCCTATGGCCTTGGATTTAAGAGCTTCTTATGGGAGGATATGGTGGAATGAATCACAGAACTTGGCAGTTGGAGCTAATCTTCTGGATGCTGTGAAAAGCAAGTCTATGATGGTGCACCAGATTGAACTTTTCTACGGCATTGTGTCAAAGTATGGGTTGATGTATTGTCAGGGTTTAGGGGCCAAGTCTAGATGGGGAAATTGGAAGGTTGGTGGGAAACCTAGCACGCTGGGTACAGTGTTCAATTGCATTACGATTTGCAGGCAATGGAGTGGCATTTTGAATGGCTGCCCCATTGTTTTTATTGTTGGCAAAGACTTCTTTTTGACTACATAGAAACTTTACACGAATCAATTTAACTCAATAAAACCTTCTCACTCCCAGTCTAAGTGAATGGAGTGATGCAAGGACGTTACCTGGAGTTATGCATGCAGTGGAACCTAACAAGTGGGTTTTTTTTTAATGGTTTTTTTAATATTGAGTTTATTATTAGATTTCATGAGGATGGACCTTTGAACCTTCTTGTGACCATCTATACTCAATTGAAATGCATCTAACTTATGCTTAGAAGTTTGGGTGAAGTCGACTTTGTATAAGGGGGTTGTGTGGGTGGTTGAGAATCCAATGGGCTTAGAGGTTACTTTCGTTGTGAATTTTTAATGGGGAGTTTGCTCTAGGTGTTAATAGGTTCTCTCAGTGCCTGCATGAGTCCATTTTGGAAAACTTATGAGGTTGATTTTAATGCCTAAAGATGTCACCTATGAGTTGTTTATGTTGTCTGCGGCATGTGTGGCTTGTCAATTAGTGCTGTGCCACCTTTGTTAAGGGATGGTGTCTAGCGGTTTGATAGATTCTAATAATTTTTTGACTGCTTTATAAAGAGTTACTACTTAGATTTGATTATTGATTACGTGATGTTAAATTTATTAGGGATGACTTTGGGCTTATGTTGGTCACACCAGTGATTTAAAAAACAGATCGGTGCCCCAGATCGGGCACCCCAAAAACCCATCCGGACCGGTGAATCGGCGTTTCGGATCGGGAATCGACCGAATCGGTCGAATTCGGCCTTACAAAAAAATCAAAAAAATTATTAAAAATCATTATAAATGTTGTTTTTTAGGAATCCAATAAGAAATGAAGGTACTACATTAATAACTTCTATTTGTTTACATCAATATGCGAATATTGAGATGTTCTTTCCCTGTATGAAGATTATCATCGAACATTTATTAAATCCTAACTAAATGCAATATTATACATTGAAATTAGAATTATTGGTTTGTATTTTATTATTTTATCATCATTTTACTATACAAATAAGAATAAAATTGAAAATTGTCTTATAATATCATCTAATTTAAAAAATCTTATTTACAACTATAATAAAAATTATACATTGTATAATTTATAATGTAAATAAATTAATAAATAAAATATAAGACTTGGTTATCATTGTAATTAGTATAATTATTAGTGACAATATTATAATAAACGTGATTCAAAAAACAAGGGTATGACCCTCCCAAATAAATAAATCTAATAAATAATAATTAGTGTGGATAGAAATATAGAATTTAAAAATATAAATTTACAATCGTACTTTAATAAAATTAAAAAATAAATAAATAAATTCATACTTGCAATGTAGGGTAATTGTTAAAGTAACTTAAAAATAAATTCTTAAGTGGTCTAAGGTAGTGTTATTTTTCTCTCTTAAAATATCCCATAAACTAATATTTTTTTTAATATTCAATAAACTAATATTAGTATTATTTTTTGCTTTTATTAATATCTTATGAGCTAATACTATTTTTTTTTAAATCCTAATTAGCTGATAGTCTAATATTAATCATATAATAAAATAATCCCATGAGATAATAGCCTAATAGTATTAGTCTTTTTATTTTGATTTTTTGATAAGTAAATTTAATTTTTTTTTGGTAAAAGATAGGGGTGGTGGACCCTATCACCCAATTATTATTTTTAATTTATTTTTTATTTTTATCATGTAATTTAATGTTGAGCGCACACCCGTCTTATTGATGCCCAGCCATCCCTACCTATGTATTAATCTATATGCTCATTCAATGTGACAATTGGGCTATGAGAATTGTTCCACATCGAAGAGATGTGGGACGCAAAAGCCATATAAAGAGACCTGCAACAACATTGATGGCAATTGATTGTTGGGGAGTGCGGTGACGTGCAAGGTTCACCCAATTAATTTCTGTTGACATCATGTGACATCAACATGGTTGTTTAAAGGATTTTTAATAATAAAATGGTAATGGACAACGATACCTGACGTCAGGACCAATGAACTGTGACGTTATATGACATCAACTTGACGATTTTAAAAGTTTTTTAATAATAAAATGAGAATCCTGTTTCTTCCTTGGATTCGGGACGGCTTGAGCGATACCCGATTTGGATTGCTCGATTCCGGATCGCCCGATTCTCGATCGGATCGCCGATTTTTCAAACACTGGGTCACACTGAGAAAGAAATTATTAGAATGACATTGTGTGTGGAAAGAAATTATTAGAATGACATTGTGTGTGGAAAGAAATTATTAGAATGACATTGTGTGTGGAATCAGCGTTGTAGAATTTCGATACAGCTGCCTAGGCAGCTGGGTAGGCACCTAGTTGGGCGCATTGTTCCCTAGGCTGATTTCCTGGGAGGTGAGGGTTCTAGGCCCCTAAAATGGTGTTTAAGGTGTTGGATTGGATGCCAAACCCCCCCTCAAACTGCCATATTTTTTAACAAAAGAAATGGAAAACACGGTCTAAGTCCCTCAGATTCTCATGCACAATGAGTTCTAAAATTGAAACTGAATTACTAAAAGTCTAAAATTATTTAAGACCATAGGAAAAGAACCCATTGGTAGATTGGGTTTAACCAATCTTAGTAGCCTGTCATTCGACACAAACCATGACCCATTTTTTAATAAAATATCATTAAACACAAATCGTAACCCACTTTTAAATAAAAGAACCCACTGAAAGTGGAAAATGGGTTAGAAAAAATTACATTATTACCCCATTTCTATCATAATACAAATTTAAGACCAATAAAGAAGGGAAAAATATCCATTGAGATCTAAGTTTAATGATATTCTATTAAGATTGGGTTACTCAAAAAATAAATCTAAACTCAATATTCATAAAATGAACAAATCCTAAACCAAAAATGTAAATATACTAACCTTTGAAAATGCAATCGATCTTGGCTCGAATAGGTTACTATTGGTTGACAAAATTCCTCTTTCACAACCACTTCAAGCCACAAAAGCCTAGGGACCTAAGCAGCGGCGGGAGCCAAGGCGGCCTCTCGAGCACCTAGGCTGGTGCCTGTGGACCTCAATGGCTAGGCTGGCCTCCTAGTCCAGTGCGCTTTGGCCATGTTACTTGGCTGCCTAGGCAGCCGGGCGATTGAATTCTTTAGCACTATGGACTACTAATAGATGCTGGCATACTGTGACTTGGAGTAGTTGCGGGCAGTGTTTGAAAAATCGGCGATCCGATCCAGAATCGGGCGATCCGGATTGGGTATCACTCAAGCCGTTTCGGATCCAAAGAAAAAACGTGATTCTCATTTTATTATTAAAAAACCTTTAAAATCGCCAGGCTGATGTCATATGACGTCACTGTTCATTGGTCCTGATGTCAGGTATCATTGTCTATTACCATTTTATTATTAAAAATCCTTTAAACATCCATGTTGGCATCATGTGACGTCAGCATAAATTAATTGGGTGGACCTTGCACATCACCCCAATCCCCAACAAGCAATTGCCATCAATGTTGTTGTAGGTCCTTCTATATTATGACTTTTGCATCCCACATCTCTTCGATGTGGGACAATTCTCATACCCCAATTGTCACATTGAATGAGCATATAGATTAATACTTAGGTAGGGATGGTTGGGCATCAATAAGAGGGGTGTGCGCCTGACATTAAATTACATGATAAAAAAAGAAATAAAATTATTAAAAATAATAATTGGGTGGTAGGGCCCACCACCCCTATCGTTCACCAAAAAAATTTAAATTTACTTACCAAAAAATCAAAATAAAGAGACTAATACTATTAGGCTATTATCTCATGGATTATTTTATTATATGATTAATATTGGACTATTAACTAATTAGAATTAAAAAAAATAGTACTAGCTCATAGGATATTAATAAAAGCAAAAAAGAATACTAATATTAGTTTATTGAATATTAAAAATATTAGTTTATGGGATATTTTACGAGAGAAAAATAACACTAACGTATACCACTTAAGAATTTATTTTTAAGTTACTTTATCAATTACTCTACATTGCAAGTATGAATTTATTTATTTATTTATTAATTTTCTTAAAATATGATTGTAAATTTATATTTTTAAATTCTATATTTCTATCCGCACTAATTATTAGATATTAGATTTATTTATTTGTGAGGCTCATACCCTTGTTTTTTGAATCACGTTTATTATAATATTGTAATTAATAATTATACTAATTACAATGATAACCAATTCTTCTATTAATCGAATTTATTTACATTATAAATTATGTAATTTATTATTTTTTGTTTATAGTTTGTAAATTATATTTTTTAAATTTAGATAATATTATAAGACAATTTTTAATTTTATTCTTATTTGTATAGT